TTTTCTGCAGCAAATTCTGTGGTTTCTTCTAGAAATAGGAACAAAGTAAATAAAATGTCACTACACTGGAGGGGTAACCTCTAAAGGAGTCAAAAATGCTCAGTATTGTCTTAGCAAAGAATAACAAGGTAGTAATATTTAAAGTGTTCTTTATATAAGGGGTTAAAATAAAATTATCAGACACGTATGAACATATACATGTTCATGAATATATATTAATATAATATATTCCTATTAACGAACAATTTAAAAAATCAGAGGTCTTCCTCTTGATTGCCATCGGTTCGAGTCAAAAATGCTCAGTATTGTCTTAGCAAAGAATAACAAGGTAGTAATATTTAAAGTGTTCTTTATATAAGGGGTTAAAATAAAATTATCAGACACGTATGAACATATACATGTTCATGAATATATATTAATATAATATATTCCTATTAACGAACAATTTAAAAAATCAGAGGTCTTCCTCTTGATTGCCATCGGTTCTTCTAGAGCGCCACAGTGACTTAAAATTCACACAGTTCAAGAGCCTGCTCTAGACTACAGCCTGCAGTACATTTTGTTCAGTTTATCTTAAGGAAAGCAATTTTTTAAAAAAAGGCAAGCAGAAACTGATGCTTTCTCCATGGATATTTTCCCTGAATTTACCAAACAGTGCAGAACTTCCTCATTAAAAAATTGCAGTGACACCACCATACTTGATAGATATCAAGATACCTACAACCTCATTAATATCAGTAATTTCAATTTTTAAAAACTAATTTCTTAACTTGGCCTCCACAATATTTGAGGAAAAATTATCCAGTTTTACTCTGCATTGCATGAAACAGTATTCCTCATATTTAAACTGAGCATCAGGTTAAAACAGTGGCAATACACCATTTACAGCATAAAGTAAATAGAAATGATAAAATAACAAAAAGACAATTATAATTTAAAAAAATACATTGTAAAGGTGAGATACGTACTATATTATGTTCAAAAAACAGTTAAATAACTATTTCTCCACTCAAAATTATTTATAATAAATGAATTGTCAAGATTTTAAATTGATACATCAAGTAAACCTCCTTGCAAATAAGCCTCAGAATTGGAAGAACAAAACTAAAATTAAGTAACTAAAAAAACATAAGTAACTTCAACAGCTCAATCACTTCTGTGCTACCACTATGAACAAGTATTTCCACAGCAGCACATACACAAAATAAAAAAGATAAGAGACTTGGATAAAGCTGCAAAGTAGTACACTATTGTAACATTTTGTTGGCAGACCTTTTCTGGTTTTCTTTTTAACCTTCTTTGCTTTAGATTTTTGTTTAGCCATTCTTTCCTCCAGTTTCTGTGCTTCTGATGTAAACAGTGTTTCAACTGACTGATTTTCATTGTCATCTTCTGCAGGATGATGCTGCAGCTCAGAGAGGGACATTGCACTGCAATGTAATGCATTATTGTCAGCAGTCACAGTCTAGTGCTTACATGGATACCATTACCATTATTAATTCTCTTGAAATTCTGCAACTCATAATCTGTGCATCTTGAAAATGCAACATCTCTCCCCCATGTTAATGTAATGCCTTTTTCACTGCTCTCCCCCCTTCATTTCCCACTAGTTTCCAGATAACTGCAGAGCCATTCACAAAAGTAGAGCTAAGCTAATACTCTTCTGCTGGATCAGGGCCATCACTCATCACTTTAAAAAAAAACATGCACAAAATTATCTTCTGTTACTTAAGAGTGAGTTCCACAGAAAACAAACATCAAATAGCAATGCAGGACATTAAAAAAAAAAAAAGTTGAACCTGTGAACTAAATATTAATCTTGACAGCATTTTAAAAAATTATTTGGTAATATTTTTTTCATAATAGAATCATCCAATTAATCTCTTGGAAAATATGAACCTTCTGCCTAACTTAAAACAAAATGAAACATTTTGCTTAAGATTCACAGACACACAGTGCACAGTTTATTATGGTACCTTGTTTCAGCTTCACTTAAAACTGCTATTTCTTTCTTCTTTTTCTTCTTTTTGCCCACTTCATTGTTCAATGCGACTTGCTGGCTTTGAACAGTAGAGGCAGCTTCAGACATCTGTTCTTTAAGTTTCTTTCTAATTTTGTTTTTAATTGCATTTGCCTCATCCTCAGCCACATGCAGCTGATAGGCTTGAATGAGCTGTTCTTCCTCTTCTAATTCAGTTACATTTCTCACTTCAGTCAAGGAATTTTTAATCTTTCTATCACTTTCTTGATGAGGTACATCTGTTTGTGATTTACTTTTTGTTTTCTTCTTTGGAAAATCATTAGTCTTTTTTTCAAAACTCCCCAATTTAGCTTCATATAATTCTTCCTCCTCATTAAATTGCTCTTGTAACAGTGGTTTCTTTTTCTTTCTGTTTGACTTTGGTTGCTTGTTCTTCTCTCCACTAACAATATCATTGTTTATTTTTTCTGCAATTGAGGCTTTCTCTCTCAATTTATTTTTTGTAAATCGGGGACTCTCTTCTTCAGGATTATATGTGTTGTTTATAATTGCTTCGTCATTCACACTTTCCTTAGATAGATCAATATTATTTCTAAAGGTATCAAGCTATAAATGAAAAGAACAAAAAACATATTTGTACTAAAAATCATGTTCTAAGGATAAACATAGCACCTCATGCCTTTCCTTTAGCAGCATTACACAAAGCAAAACGGAATCAAAGATCTAGTTATTTTCTTGTTTAAATTTAACAAGTGACAGATTGAAAAGAAAAAGAAAATTCACGCTGAAAAAAACCATTTTGTGCCAGGGTACTTCATCCTCAATGTTTCATTAAGTTTTTTAATTACATTTATGCCTATCCAGTAAAAAAAGAAACCAACAAGTCTACTCCATAAACAGATGCCAATGCTTTACACTATGGAATACTTGAGGAGTACATGAAGCACAAAATCAAATTTCGGCCATCAAAAATGCAAATTAGAGACAGACTTCAGGCTCAGTTGTTTGTAGTCTCTTTTACTCAAAGTTGCTTGTCAAAAATTAACAATAAAATTACATTAAAGGTTAAAACTGAAAAACATTCCATTAAAATGTCTAAACACCCCAAACAAAGCAACAGAAAGTCAAATCAAACCCCCCCACAATACTCTTAGCAGAAGGACAGAGAGTTAATCTAGACAGCAGTCTAGTAAAAATAGCGAAGATAAATTTCAGCTAATGTGTTTGCCTGTGCACTCCTGCTAATTTTTGGTGGTTTTATAGAAAACACATTGTAAACCTTCCTTCCTCCTTCAAGTTTCTATTCCTGGTTACTAAAGGTTATGATGCGTCCTCTCTGCTTCCCTGGGTATGTTCAAGGTCAGGTCATGTTGGATGGAGCTATGAGCAACCTGATCTAGTTGAAGATGTTCCTGATCAGGGCATGTGGACTAGATTACCTTCAGAGGTCCCTTTCAATCCAAACTATGATTCTATGATAATACCAAAGAACACAGCAAGTAACTAAGGTCTAATTCTATAAGGAGGTCGACACACAGATCTCTGTTCCTTGATGGAACTTCTATGAAGTCACTGAGGTTCATTTAGTCTGTTGTCTTACAGAAAACTCTCTAGAGTCTCTACATGAAGGATCAGAAAGAACTTTAAAACACAAAGGAGAGCAAATTAAAAATAAAATGTTCAGAGAAAATATATGTATCTGCATACAATCTTTAATTTGCCAAAACTCTCTTCCTCAATAAACACAGACATCGTCCCCTTCTAGCTGGGATCCTTCTCCCAGTTATAGAATCATGTTTGCCTCAGATATTTGCAAAAAGGGGCAACATGTGTGATAAGTGCTGTGCACTGCTGTGTTCATCACTAAAACATATCACCAAGTACCACATCCACACCCCTTTTGAACACTTCCAGGGATGGTGACTTCACCACTTCCCTGGGCAGCCTGTTCCAACACCTGACCACTCTTTCAGTGAAGAAGTTTTTCCTAATATCTAATCTAAACCTCTGTTGGTGCCACTTCAGGCCATTTCCTCTAGTCATATTGCTTGTTACCTAGGAGCAGAGACTGACCCCCACGCTGCTACAACCTCCTTTCAACTAGTTGTAGAGACCAGTAAGGTCCCCCCTGAGCCTCCTTTTCTCCAGGCTAAACAAACCTAGCACCCTCAGCTGCTCCCCATAAAACATGTGCTCTAGACCCTTCACCAGTGTCACTGCCCTTCTCTGGATACACTCCAGCATCCCGATGTCTTTTTTTACAGAGAGAAGGAACAAAATATACATACAGAAATATATGTCACAAATAGTAGGCATGCTTAATTACTGCAGATTTACTCATAGAAAAAAAACCCACAGAATATCCTTATAATGGAAAAAACCTGCAATCTCAAACTACAGCAAGTTTCATGAACATTCATGAATACTGCAGGCAGCACAAAGCTGCTCCAGCATAGCAAACACAAATTTCTCAGATACATAGTCTGTATGATTTTAATTTAGGCCACTTTTTTCCTCATGCTGTAAATACATAATGTAATTAAACGGAGGGAAAAGGTGCAAAGGAGCCACAAAACAATAAAGTAAAAGCCAAGATGTTTATAAAAACCATCAGATTACGACTCGGGCAGAGGCAGGTATAGATTCTCTGTCTAAAACACAGGACTGAGAGGTATCAACTAAGAGCAATTGTCAATACAGAAACACACCTGAACTGACCTAGAGAAAGCAGTTAGGCTGGAAAAGCAGCTCAGAGGACAGGCCTGTCTTTGGAGTAACTCCAGAGGGTTGCTGACCTGAATCTGACCTTCCTAGCGTAAAGCATGGGACAAACCAGGTGGCTTTCTTTTCAAAACAGCTCCATGACCACATTACAACACCAGGGCAGAGGTAACACTCTTCCCTGAAAACAGACTCACTTGCACTACCAGCCTGATAGGAGTGAGAGATGGGTGCCATCCAAGACGCACACAGGTGGGCTAACACTCGAGGCTCATACCACAATGAGCCAACCCCAGGTCATGTCACCTGCCATTCATGTTCCAGAGCTGACAGCAGGGACAACGCCTCATAATCTTACACCTTTTCAGAAAGGTTTCTCAAATACGCATGAGTGGAAGTTGGCAACACATCAAGTGATTTTGTCATGGGTATCTGGAAACTCGGGTAACCAGATTTACAGAGGCACCTGAACTTCTTCCAATAATACAGGCACACCTTGAAAAATTAGGGATGGACATTGCCAGCCCACTGCACGTACCCATATAGCTGCTAAGTGCTAATATGTACTGGTTGTAAAAGAGCATCTACTGAATTGGTAATGAATGGACTTGTGATGCTGATTTGTTGGCTGGGATGTTTCAGAAAATGTTAATACACCAGGGAACCAATTTTATTGCCATTGCTTATAGAAGACTATAACATTTACGCACTCAAAGCTAGAAGAACTTTAATTTGCAGTTAAGGTGGGTTTGGAAAAGTTTCACCAAATTCTAACAAAAACCATTGAGAATATGTGTAGGTCAATGATCTAGTCAACTGTTAGCAGTTCTCCTATTTTACATACAAGAAACGAAGGCCTAAAACCCAGTGGAAATCACAACAATTATTCAGTGTCCATCAGCCTACAGGAAAATAAAAAAGAAGCCTATGAAACAGCACCTGGGAAAATTCTACAACCTCAAAGCTCCACAGGTTGTGTATTACATCTGAGACAGAAGCTAAAGTACTGAATTAGTCAGAAGCAACCTATAAAAAAATCTACCTTACTCAAAAGAATACAAGAATTTTCAAGCCTATTATTTGTACCCTCATGAAACTCCAGACTCCAACCTATCGTTTAGGGCTTTACAAAGAAAGAGAAGGAACAGATTTAGTGAGGTAGGAAGTAAAATAAAAAGTTTCAAATCGATAAATCTGTTGCCATCCTGCCTTGAATACAAAACCTTAGTTATCAATGCATGCCCATACCAGTATTGTAATCTGACCAGACTGCAGTCTAGGGAATAATTTTTTATCTCCATAAAGGGATCTTGTTTTTCATCTGGTAGAAAATTTCACTGACATTTTTAGAATTAAACATCCTCTTTTGGAGCACAAAATTTAGATTGCACCAAATAAATCCAATCATTTTCATGCTGACTTTAGACAGATTAATGTACCTGGGCAAAATAGTCTGGACGTCGCCTGGTCCGAGGCTTGCCTCATTCTAACAAGTTGCAATAGGAGGAACAACTGGTAAAAACTAAGTATGGTGACTCTTTGCTCTAGAAGGGATACTAGCAAATGCATTTTCTGCCTGTGTCTCAATTGCCTGTTTCTTCAGCCATGCCTTTAAGTTTCACACCCACTGCCCCTCTGGCTATTGAACAGCAAAGCAGACCTTTCACTGGCCACAGTTGATATCTATTTCCATCTCCATTACAAGGCCCTCATTCCTATCAGCTGTGATTTCAAAGTCATACTGCCCATCAGCCTTTCCTCTTCCAGCCAAGCTGCTTCCCTTCTCTCCATGCAGGGTCTCCAGGCAATGGAGAGCATTCAAGCAATCTCCTTATTCTCACTTCTGTCATTTAAAACCACAGCAACCTCCTGCAGCTCCAGAACTTAGATTTCAAAGAAACAGTGGATTATGAGAGATGAGGTTTTATGAGGCTAAAGACAAAGGAAAGAAGCAGACTGGAACATTTCCAGTGGAAAAATGCTCTCAACCACGACCTGTTTCTGATCAAACCTGGGTGGCCATTTATGGCAAGTGCATGACACAAAGCCAATCATCACTGACAAATTTCACATTATTATTTTAAGATAAGTGAAACTCTATACAGTTAAATTATATAAAGTGCAGAAAAATAGAACCAAACCAGCCAACCTCCTCCATCTACCTCCTCTTCCCCTCCCACACACATTTACTTCTTACAGAGAAATGATTGCTTATTTGCTGAGGCTTTTACAGAAATGCCAACTTGAATGCAATCAGCACGGAAAATACCAACCCGAGTTCTTGCAACTTTGCCACAGTTTAAGGAAATATTCAAAATGGACAGTAATAGGTTTCAATACATGCTCTCCTCAAGCTCTTAAAGTGCTTTGAGTGGCAAAAAACTGTAGCTTCAAAGCTATAAAGTTAAGCTTCCACACTGATCCTAAGAGTGCTTCTTAATTTGCTTGTATACCACTGACTTTTGATTCAAGTCATTGTGATTTTAAATGCAGCCAAAATACTAGTGTTTTCATCAGAGACTTCTGGAATGTAAACCAATTTTAAAACCAAAGTAAACTTAAAATATTTATGAGTAACATGCAATTGCATATGAACATGCAATTATATGCTAAAAAATACTTGTAAATTACAGATTTAAAAATTCACATTTCATAAGAAAGTAAACCTGAGGAAGAATTTAGTCTTGTATTTATACATATGCCAGAAAAAAAAGGAAAAAAACCCATCCTCTAACTCCCTATGCTATATTTAGACCTCGATTCTCTGTAAAGACTATTGACTAAATACCATAAACTTTGAGGAATGCAAAATGAAAAAAATAAATCCACACACTTCAAACTGTCAATCTAAAGACAATTATCTTACAGCATAGCAATACTAAGTTTAATATAACTATTCTGAATATACTTAATATATAGAATAAATACACGTAACATTCTGATATTATCTACAATAGCATTCCTTTGTCAATAATCAAGTATATAGGACTCATATTAAACATTTATTCTCCTGTTCAGGAAAAAGCCTAAAATGTGAACCATAACTCAAGAGGAACTTCTGAGGCTCTTTTAATGACAGATATGCCACAAATAAAAATGTCATCTAATCATAAAGTCAGGGTGACAGAATCATTCCTAATCTGCAAGGCACAAGCTAAGGTCAAAATCTTTTAAGAAACAACTTCATACATCTGTACTTCCCAAGCAGACATGTGAACACAGGACCTCTCAGACACAAAGCTCAACACATGCAGAAATATGCTGTTTAATGAGATCAAATTGAAGGGAAAAAACAGTAGAAAATGGAATAAAGTTAATTATTAACTGTAATATTATTATAATTTCTCATCAGTTCCCAATTCACAGTTGCATTAGGCAGACATACCTTTATTACAAAGATGCAGTACTCTCAAAACTAAATATTCTTACAGCCATGATTCTACAAGTTCTCAAACATCTCAGTAACTCCCAGTAAAGTCAGTAATGAATTTGAAAGTCTTAAAAATTTTATGAAAAATGGGAATGGAAAAAAAAAAAAGTAGTGGTGGACATTAAATGAGTACATGCCCACATGTGCCACTTTCCTTTGACTAGTATTATAGTCTATACAATTCTGACATACATCCAAATTACAAGGATGCATTGCTGGTACACAAACAACAAATAAAAGCCACAGCAAAAACGAGTGATATGTGCAGAAACATACCTTATTCTTTTTTAATGCTTACATCTCTTTTCTACAATACATTTTCCTGATCTTTTGTCCACTAAGGGAGGCAACCAAACAAAGCTTGCATGTGCATGTGTTGTAACTCACCATGATACTCTCCTGAGAATCAAACTTCTTTTTCTTTGATTTCTTTGTGTCTGTTAGGGCAGCATGATGTCTGAAGATTTCCTCAAAGCGGACTTTGGTTTTTGCCTTTGCTTCACTTTCAACTGCAAAAAGAAATCTAGAGTATGATTCACTATCTCAATGATCATTGCTGCTAAAGAAGTGCACAATCATGCTTGAAAACTGCAAAGGACAAGAAGTGTTTACCAGGGAAAGTTTACCAATAAATTCACTTAGTATTTGGTTAAGAATTTCCACTGACAACATAAACCATACAAACATACAAACCATAGAAACATACAAACATACCTATTTAGCAAACTTGCACAAACACTAGTCTATTATTTGTTGCTGAAGTCGGCACCATCTACTCTATTTCCTGAAGAAAGCACATTTTAAAGGGCACAACATCAGGATCAGCACAAAACTTGGGCTAGCCAAAGCAGAGGACAGATTATTGCCCTCCCTATTTCTGAACAGAGGTGACACTGTCTTCCAGTAGTAGCAGCAGCTCTAGCTTCTTACTGAGTCTGGAATCCAGAGAAGCACCACCCTGAGACAGATCTCTAAGAGGCAGGAGCAGGCACTCGGCCTTTCCATAAATCATGACACTGCCATCAGCAGCATTTCAGCCCTTGGAGGAGTAGGTGTTCTAGCTCCCCTCAGGTAACGCTTAATTTGTAGCTAAAGAATTAAAATCTGCAATCTGGCACACCACTGAAAACAGCTGTTGAATCCTGAGCTACAGCATATTTGCCACTGTTACTAAAATTTTTACAAAAGCCCCAAAATTTAAAATAAAACAATAGCAACACTTGGAAAATCAGCTATAAACGTGCACTCAAAATGGAGACAATGCAGCATTAAAGATGTATAGACAGAAGGAACTTCTATCATTTGCACTTAGTTCTAACTATAAAATGCATACTGGAAATGAAACACAAGGTATTCCTACCTGCTGGCATTTTCAGTCCTCAGTCAGAAGGGGCTCAACACACCAGCTGCTCCTTCCTCAGAATTCACCATTCTGTTTAAAGTAATTAATAACTTTTGTTAACACCTCTGGTCCACAGACTTGAAGCTAACAATTAAAAATTAATTACTTAATTAAGTCATCCTTAATTAAGGATGAATACAGGTGTTTTAGTCTAGAAACAAGTATTTCCCTATTCGTCTAAATTATTAGAAGTTTTCTGCCATCAAATCTCAGCTCAGGATTTTCAGCATCTATCTGACACTTGTTATTTGTGAGTAAATAACAACCAACACTACAGCAGTTTCAACAGCTATATATTTCTGGGCAATAGCCAAACACTTCAGCACTGTAGTCCTCCAATCTTGTAAAACACCCTAGAGTTTATTTTAAATAACAATAACCCATGAGGCTGTTTACATTGAAGCCTTTCAAACCAGGCTCCTATCCTGACAGCATCACTGAGGAAGTCACACTGTAGCCAGCTGATACCTTTCAATGAAAGACTAATATCTATCAGCAAATCTAACTTTATTACAAATCTCTAAATATTTATGTTTATATAAAGCATTTGTATTTTACATAAAGCAGACAAGCAATTACATGAAACTCATTACTCTAAAGAAAAAAAAGTTAGGCCCTCCTGGTTGTGGAGTAAAGCCTACAAATGCAATCTAAACAAAGCTCGAAGGCAAATATTACACAGCTTAATCTTTTCATCTAGAAAATTCAGAATGTTTTACAAAAACCTTTAATACAAAAAGTTGTTTTGTAAACAGTTGAACTAATGAAACTTAGGTTCCTATGAAGGTGTTATGTTCCTCTTAGCCTTCCATGCAATGAACTATCACACCCATCTCCCCAATACCCATCAGGCAATAGCTCCAAGTTCTCCCTTGGCAACACCTCCTGTCAGACATCAGTAACTCACATTCACTGAACACACAGACTACATTGATCCTAACAAATTAAGGCACAGCATGAAATACTTCCAGGCTGTATGGTTGCATTATTCTCACACCATTTTGGTCCAAGCCACCTAACACTCACCCAATCAATTCCTGCATACAGGAGTTATGATGAATTACTATTAATAGGCAGTTTGCCTGCAGCCACTCTGATCTGAGGCTGAGTTTAACAGCAGTGAAGTGAGCCAAACACACCACTTGGCCTCAATAAAAATCACTCCTGGGCACACACATCTCAGCAGCATGGGAAAGAGCTGAGGCTATACTTGGGTCCTCAAGCATCTGCAGGACAGTACCCTCAGATCCCTCTCACCATGTTCACAGTGTTACTTGCACAGGTTACATACTTTCAGGTCATCTCACACTTGTTACTTACAGTACTTTGGTCGGCTGCCTGGTGAAACCAAACCAAATTAAGGAAAAAACAGGGAAAGTGTTCAGGTTGTTTTGGGATTATTGAAGTGTTGATTAGTCAGTTGCCAGGAGTCATTAGTTTACTGCATGTCTTAAGCAAAGCATTTCTACTAAGAATCCAACAACCTAAAGATGTTTGAAATGAGAGAGGATGACCAGAAGGGACTTCAAAAGTTTAGTTCCGTAATGTGCCTCAACATGACACTAATGAGGATGCAATATCTTCTGAAACATGTTTTGATTGGTAAAGCAAAGCTTTACTGTCACAACTAAACTAGCAATAGTTAAAAATAACACTTCTTAAAAGAAACAAAACCAGAAAACACCACTGCAAAATAAAACAAATAAAACTGCTTTTGCAATTTATACTTAGTTACACCAAACGGGCATTTTAAAATTACTACAGTTATTAACTGCTGCTTTTCACAAGTGGCTAGAAAAGTGATGAGTGATTTCAACTGCAAAAACTGATTACAAACAACCAAAGAAATGCTGAAGGGTTATTATATCTCAAACAAAAAAATATGAGACAATATAGAACACAAAATTAGTAAAGTGTATAGGTATTGCAAGTATGGAAATCAATTTATGGTCAAAGGTTAAATAAATCAGATGACAAAAAACCCAGCCAGATACTTTTGCTTATAATGGATCAAGCATGTCTCCAAAGGCTTGGCTCACCTCAGAGCCATCAGCACTCTGTAAAATGCATAATCTGCAAAGTTTACCAGTGAGTGCATCATTGCCTGTTTATTCTGTAAAAGTCTATCCTCTTGTGGAAAAAAAAAAAAAAAAGAAAGTGATATTATTTTATACAGATTTCATGACCTCTGACATGGTGCATTAAAGCAACTGTTAGTCTTGTGTAAAAATAGATCATTAATCAACAAGGCTAAGGACAAGGTTGTTTACTCAGTGTAATCTCACCTTAAAATAGGAGAGATTTAATCACATATCAATGTTCAGCAACCACAGTGCTCCAATCTGAATAAACTCAGGTATCATTAATTTTGTAAAATGCATTTTTGCATGATCTGACTGGATTTCTTCCATGTTAGTAAATATAAGACAATCTAGGAATGACAAAAATACATAGGTGGAACAGTGACATATTCAGCCATCAGGAATAACCAGGAAAACAAATTCACGAAGCCCAAACTTCCAAGAATTAATACATACTTTCCTGAAAATCACCTAGTTTGCTCTTCTCTACTGCTCCATCTATATTTATAAAAGTGACTCTACATTAAATTCTTGCCCTTTCCACAACAGTTCATAATACACACTGAGTTGTTATGTTCAACATCTGTAATACAGTAATTCTCTATGCTAAACATGTCACAAGGCCCATTATTCATGAAAAACACTTTACTGGTCACTGGAAAAAAAAGATCTATATCAAACCTATACTATAACGGGCAGAACATACAGAATCTGTACTGGATAATAGGAAGTAACAATTTTCCAACCTAATTAGGCCCATTTAGGAAACTGAGTTGACAAAATATAATTGCACAGTTCACCATTTTCCTGAACTAAATTTCTCAATTTCCTTTCATTGCAAAAAGTGAATGTAAACTTCAGTGGCTGAAAACAAGCAGAACATCAGGCCTTGTTTACTTCTCATCTTTTAGATGAGATTAGTCATCATAGTGGGAAATCTTGGGTTTTACTAGTAGGTTTCTAGTTCAGCTGGCTGTAGGTATCACTGGTCCAAGATCTGAAAAACTCAGGATTATATAGCAAAGTAACAGTGAGTCAAATCCATTCCTTTTCACTGTTGATGAATGTGATGTCAAAAGCCAACCTGGTTCTGTTAAGGAAAACTCAGTACTTAAGCCCAGAAAACTGACAGATCTACCTTATTATCACCAGGTAAACACCTACGCACTTACATAGGAAATAAACACTACTAGAAGTCCAGAGGCTTTCTACCAGCTTAGATGTGCCTGCAAAAACTTAGTGCTCACACTAATTAAAAAGATGTTTTAAAAAGCTGGTGCTACCCATCTGAGCTTTGTAATAGTAAGGTGTCAGAAAGCCTTATCTTCAGAGGCACTGAGGTTTGTTTCCACCTTTAGTGAAGAGAAAGTTGCAGACAGACTCTGTCAGCCCTGATGGTAAAACCAGGTACTGAAGTTCTATACAAGGAAACACATTTACGGTATTGATTGTAATTGATTATTAGAGTCTCTGCCTTGTCTTAGATTATAATTATGGAAATGTCTTCTCAGCAAGAGAAGACCCTGAGTATTTTAACGTCCAAAGTGGCATTATCCTTTGCATAGAATAGCAGTAGATAAAAAGCAGAGATATAAAGGATCATTGGCAGGACACACCACAAGCGATGGAATTATTTAACGTGGAGGGAGGCATCACCCCTTTGGAACCCAACGCGTCAGGCACGGAGCAACATTGCATCTGCATGTGCGCGGGGTACAAACACAGTCCCGCCCGAGTTACCTACAATGCGTGTGAAGAGAGGGTCAAACACCACCGATCGGGGGTTTC